TTGATATAATTTCTAATTAACTGATTTTAATTGCAAATTATATGCCCTACCGGTATGAGGGATCATTGTATATTGTGACTTTGTTTAATAGAAATTATTTGAAAGAAGGAAGAAAGGAAATGGAAAATTTTAGTTGGCACAATATGCAAGATACTTGTAATTCAGAGTTGAGGACGAGATCCTCACATTTTTATATGATATGAAATATTTAAACCGGGCTACAAGCTACGGTAGATATTATATAAGGATGAGGTCTGGTGGTGAAAGATTTATGTGTTTAAATTCTCCTTTTATGAAATTAAAATTTGTACTATAGTACTTATAGGAAGTCATGCCTATAAGGCTTATTTGATAATTCTTGTATGAATATCTCTATGCATAATTTGCCAAATTGTATTGTAATTATTGAGTTTTAGCCTACGAGGTGAGTGCCCGGGTGGCGTTAATTGTGAATATTTAATTTGGGTAAGTAATTATGAGGTTTTCATACCTTGTTGTGAGTAAAGTGGAGGCTTGAAATGGGACTTTGTTAACATGGGGTTAATGGGCGATGTTATAATAGATTATAAACATCTATTAAGACTAGAGAAGTGGTTATAGTCATACATATGATGCATCTCATGTCGAGATATCATTATGATAATACCGTGTTGTAATACAGAGATTAGTTTTATTGATATATGCATTCTAGTGTCTTGTTGGGTTGTGGATGTGTTGTTAGGAGTTGTATTGGTGTTACTCTGGATAGGCCCAATTACAGGGGAGACTCTGTCAAAATTTCTGAAAAATTTGGGAGTTAGAAAAATTTGGGACGTTGAGATGTGCGAAGAAAGAGATAAGTTACATTGTGTATGTGATGATGAATGGCCCTAAGTGGGGGGAAATGTAACATCCCGGGAAAAATTTTGAAGTATTTAAGCGCTATTAAAAGTTGATGTGTGTTGACATGAGACTAGTACCGTGTGTTAATGTGAAGAATTTGACCATTTTGAAAACGTTTGGAGAGTAAGAAATTTGGTCTTAAAGTTACAAATATGGATAAAGGAAATAATCTCAACTGCGATGGTGTTTCCGGGCTTGTGTCGAATGCGGTAACGTGAGATCAACCAAGAGTATATGTGTAAAAGTAAAATCATCAATTTGGCAACTTCAGAATAATTCTTAGTACGTTCGAGGACAAACGTTTGTTTAAGAGGTGGAGAATGTAACGACCCGACCTGTCGTTATAAGAATTAGCGTCTCGTTCAACGCTTAAGACCTTGAGGAGCTTCGTAATATGGATTATGACCCGCATGTATGGTCAAGTTTGATTTTTCGTAAGATTCGGAGTTAAATTTAAAGAAAATCAAAATCTTATTTTTTTAAAGCAAATGGAAAGAGTTGACTTTTGAGCAAAAGACCCCAAATTAGAATTTTAGTGACGTAAATAGCTTCGTATGGTAATTTCAGACTTAGACGTGTGTCCAAATTTGGATTTGGAAGTTCGCATGACAATTCGGCGCATTTTGGCGAAATAAGAAAGTTGACGTGTTCTAATTATATTATAGTGATGTCGAGCCGCACGATGTACCATCTGTGCCGATTATATTGATTATATGGTGAGGACGAGAGTAAAAGCACGAAGGGTGATGTCATGCACATTTTTATTATTTGATTGCTTTGGTGAGGACGAGAGTAAAAGCACGAAGGGTGATGTCGTGCACTTATTGATTCCTGATTCTTTAGTGATATCTGAGATATGTTGTTTCTTTCAGTTACCCGTTGTCTTTCTATTCTAATTTGATAGTTCCCCCGCAGCATGCTACCCCCTCCCCATACTTGACTGTATACTATTGTTCTTCTTTTTCCGCTGTATATAGTTAAATTGCACATGTTTATTTGGTAGTCTGGTCCTAGCCTCGTCACTACGTCGCCGAGGATAGGCTAGGCACTTACCAGCACATGTGGTCGGTTGTGTTGATACTATACTCTGCACTGTGTGCAGATCTCGGAGCAGCAGCTTTTGGACCGTAGATTGGGTGGCTGCCTTCAGGCCACGCGGAGATCCAAGGTAGTCTTGCAGGCATCCGCAGGCCCTGGCGTCTCCCTCTATCCCTTGACTCTTGTTTCATTTATTTAGTTCAAAAATAGTGTATCTTTTATCTTTCAGACTTTGTATGTAGTATTCTTAGATCGTCTATGAAACTGTGACACCAGTTCTGGGTGGTCGAGGCTCAAACAGTTGTATTAGATACATATTTCAGATAGTTTACTGCATTTCTTCCGCTTATTAAAATTTTCGCTGTCAACACGAAATCCGGGTCGTGACATTAGGCCTCGACCATCGGGCCCTCAATTGTTTCTCTTATCGTTTCTTGCAGGATGACTCTCGAATTAGTTTCCTTTTTGGCCCGAGTTGTATGGTTGATACCGATCTCGGACTGATCTTGTCTCTTGATCAATGGCCCTCTTAGATCTATCGTCGGCTCTGATAGGGTAAACAGATCTAGAAGGGGCCCTGAGTTGGCCGTGCTCGATCCTGATCTTTGACTGGTACCTGCTATGGATGTCGGCCCAGGTTACACCGGGTACTCCACCAAATTTTGTTTTAGCTGTTGAGAGGCGAAGGAATTTCGGGGGTTGATCCCCTGAGTGAATGCCTGAACAGCCCAATCATCAGCAATTGGAGGTTGATCCATCTGTTCCATCTTGAACCTTGACTCGAACTCCCTGAGCATCTTGTTGTCCCTCTGTTTTACCTTGAAAAGGTCTGACTTTCTGGTCTCGACCTTGATGGCCCCGACATGGGCCTTCACGAAAGCATATGCAAGCATAGCAAACGAATCAATGAAATTTGGGGACAAGTTGTGATACCATATCATTGCTCCCTTGGACAAAGTCTTCCCAAACTTCTTCAGTAATACCGACTCGATCTCATTGTCTTCCAGATCGTTCCCCTTGATTGCGCATATGTAAGAGGTCACGTGCTCATTTGGATCTGTGGTCCCATTATATTTGGGAATGTCAGGCATACGAAATCTCTTTGGGATCTGCTTTGGTGTCGCGCTTGGAGGAAAAGGCTTCTCGACAAATTTTTTGGAGTTCGGTCCTTTCAATATCGGGGGTGCCCCCGGGATCTAATCAACCCTAGAGTTTTATGTTTCCACCTTCTTGTCATTAGCCTCAATCTTTTTCTCACCTGATTCCACTCGTTTAGTCAACTCTTTCAGCATCTTCAACACTTCGGGATTTCCCCCGCGCTCGGCTTCACCCGTTCTCTCGATGATTGCTCATCTCTTCTAGTACTTTCCCGGGATTCGGGCTCGACCTTGTTGGGGGCATGGCTTTGATTCTGCAGTTGTGCTATTGCCGCCTATTGAGCCTGCAACATTTTGAAGATTAGCCATAGGCTTACCCCTATCACCTTCGCCTTCGGGCGCTTCTCGAGCTGTTGGTCGGGGTCCCCCGCGAACACTATTTTCGGGATCAGTTGGCAAATTGTTGCTGATGGACACCTGCGAGTTAGCATCGACCGGATCGGCAGCTTGGACACTATTGGGATCGGTTGGAGGCATATAGTCACTGGGCACGTAATTATTATTTTCGACGTGATGGCTAGACTTAGCGTCAACATATAAGTGAGCAGACTGAGAGTTTGACCTTTTTGGGTTGACCTGAAATTAAGACTTCAAAGAACAAGCGTAAAATAGGGTGTGTTTTGGAGATTCGTATCAAATCATCATTATCATCCTTAGCCTCACGGTGGGCACCAAACTGTTTACCCAAAAATTGGATAACAATTAAATTTGTACGCGGTTTGAAGGATATGTGGTTTGATTTAACACGAATAATTAATAATATTAAAAAATGAGTTAGAGATGAAATAAATGCTCGAACCAATTGCAACATTATGGCCAAGCCTGAACTTAGACTGACCAATGACCTCGTCCACAGCTGGACCCTCGGTTCAAGCCCAGCCGTGAACGAAGAACAGAACAAATGAGAAAAGCTTTAACGACAGCTAAAAGGCAGAAAATAAACTTGTATCGCTTTGATTTGCGTGTTATAATGTATGTTACAAAAGAAAAACTTCTCCTTATATAGTAGGAGAGTTTCATCCCTAGTATAAGTCTAAAGACAAAAATCTTCCTTTCCCGGTAATTACTGATCCATAATCGACATCGAGCGAGATACGCGCCATAATGTCCGGTTGAGTGCGAGTATCACGGCCCTCTATTCGTCATGCATCTATCCGTCATGCATAACCGTTCACCGTATCTCCCGAGGTCTTAGAACTCATTCTTGGCCTGGGGCACGTCGCTTTACCATACCCGATGACGGGCACATCATTCACTCTTTCTGGATTTCGATATGAAGGGTCTCGTGCATCCGTGCCCTACCTCCGTTTTCTCATAGGGAAATCGGGGTAGGTTACCCCCAATTTTACCCGTACACAGTTAATTTGAAACATTTTAGTGACTCTCTAGAGATTCTGTTTTTCTTTTCTGAAATCTCTTTGTCAACATTTATTAATTAATCTCTTTGTCAATATTTATTAATACCATACTCTTTTTGTGCCTTAATGAAATGCTAATTTTGCTTAAATGTTCGTAGATGAGAGGGAGCAAATCAGACCACAGCGAATAGAACAAACTGTAAGAAAGCTCTTTCAGTGCAGCTTTATCGTTTTAACCAACGAGAAGCACCAAGACGAGGGATGGCATATACACGTCGCAATAAAGAACTCCAATGCTTCAAAGAACAATGCAACACTTCTCTGAAAAGTTAACGTTATATTTTTAACTTGTTCGGTAGAAATTCTACAACCTCAATATGTTTCATAACCCATTATTTATAACGAATTTTCACATGCAGCATCTTTTGAAGCGTACCTCGTTAAAAAATCACATTTTGTTTTCATTTTTAGAGTGCTACCTCTAGTACCTGTCTTCGTGATTTAGCTTCCTATATTCATCCATCAAATATCTAGAACTAGAACAAAAAAGGAAATGCAAAAAAGAAAAAAAAGAACTGTCACATTGTAATAACAACAAAGCTGAACTTCTGGAACAATTGGAAAAGAGAATTCTCTATACAAGCACAAGATTTCGTAAAACAAAGAAAGGAATTGGTAAAACAAACTCACTATTACGTCCATCATCTTTCTAAGTAAGAATCGTGCGAGAATTTGTGTTTTCAGGGAACAATAAGACACATCAACTAAAATGTCAATGTTGAGCATGCGGCGATATGACCAGCTTGAAGTGTGCATATATTTCCTGAAAGAAGAAATTGTACCAAGCCAGAGTTATTTAACAAAATTGATTCTGATTCATGTTGGAGAAAGGTATGAAGGAAGAAGCAGATTAGCCTACCAATTTCATCTCAGTATAGCCTCAAGTAACCTCCCTTTTCATTTCTTTCCCTAACTCCTGTACTTCTTCTAAGGAAGGATCTCCGGTTGAGAGACCAACTTCTTTTCATGTCTCGCCTTCTCTTCCAAGCTACTACGTGACTATAAAGCACGGGAAAAAGGAAGCAAAGGAGAACCAACAGTAGCAGAACCACACAGAGCAACATAACATTGCGGAACCCCTCCTTCAACTCAGGTTCTCTTTGATTGGTCCAAGGAACTCCTCCAACATTCATCCCAAACACTGTAGCATAGCAGACAAATAAGTGATCTCAAACTATGAAATGATAAAACATGACTTGGAATTATGAAAGAAGTTCCATAAGAAGTTCACCTCCGGTTACTACTGACAAGGGAAGAAAGACGATGGAGAGGAAGGAAAGGTAGTAAAGTTTTTTATTTATCTGCTCAGACTGCCAGCTATCAAGACCTGCCTGAATTGCTGTTACACGATTGGCAATAAACCCAACATTCTCCTTTAGTCTTCTCAGTCGACCAATTAACTCTTCAAGTGAAGTGATGTCATCGCTGGCAAACCAACCTTTTGAAGAACATTTCTCCTTCACTCGCGGAAATACTTGCTCACCATGTGCAATCACCTGCAACAAGAGTGATTAAGATCAAATCTATCTCTAGAATCTAAACTATACATCTGAAATCTCAGGAAAAGGAGAAGTTGTAAATATAGCATAAGGAAGCTGCTATTTATACGACCAAAATGGGCAAGGTATTCTCAATAAACTACTGCCTTCCATAATGGGGACTAAATTTATAAAACCACAAGAAAGCCAGGAAAAGTGAAAAGNATAGAAGTTCCCTCTATGAACTCGCTCTGCAACTCTTCTTTCTCAATTTACTTCATTCTTCTTCATTTGAAGCCACTTTTTCTTCCTAAAATGTTTTAGTGCATGTGTTTGTGATGCTCCTTTCTGTTCCCTCCCCCAACCCCAGGGAGTTAACGATTAGAAAGAAAACCACTCCGCCTCTATGCATTAAAGAAGATATATAAAACTGGCTATATACAAGACATGCATATTGTTTTTGTTGCCCCTTTCAACCCCATCATTGGCTATCCAGTTACTAAAGTAGTTTAAATCAACACCTAGAAACTTCGAAAAACACGTTAACCAATATTGTGGAAGAGTTTCTCTCCTCAAAGAATGTGTAACTGTGTAGACATCCTTACTCTTACCGTCCTTGTAAAGAGCTGACTTTGGTCTTCATTATAGAATAAAATCAAGGATGTCATTTTTCTCTTCCCCCTTACCTCAATTAAGGATAAGGCGACTTAGGTAACAAATCGGTGCAGTATGCCGCTCCGCCAAGCAAGGAGTGTAGCACAGAGCAAAAAGAAACCAAATTTAATATCATGAGTGTATGTTATACCTTATCTCCTCCTATTCAATATGCATTTGTGCCACTTAATTCTTTTTGTTGCGACAACTACCAACCCCAAACTCTTGCCTAGTGGCATGGAGTGGATTCTCTCAACCACTATGAACAAGATTTGCCGGTTTTGTGCCACTTAATTCTTTTCTGATTCTTCTTGCAATTTTAATGTTTCTGTACTTGGATCTTCTTTCATTTGATTGGGTTTGATCAATATGTAAGGAGATGGCGGAAGAGAAAAAGTAAAAAAAAGAAATGGAGCAGCGAGAACATAACATACAACAAAACCTATGTTTTGAATTGAACTTCAGCAAGGGCATCTAGTTATACAGAATATTTGTTGAGAGATGAAACTGATAACAAACATACCTACCTCTTTTACTACTCCTCATCTATTTCTTACCCTAGAGTTTTATCAAGTACTAGTGCTTTACATGGCGTGTCATGTCTTTCTTCTGTCACTTAAACATCAATCACTTTTCCATCGAAGGTTAAACGACCGACAACTTTCCTCATCCCCTCCATCCACTTACCTCACTAGGCAGCATCACCATGCAATTAAATTTATATGTTTAGTCACAGATTTCTTAAACAAAGGAAAGTGGGGCGACCAAAGAAGAAGAAGAACATCCATGAAGGAACTAAAGAATCTTAGCACAAAGCAAAAAGCAGTAGGAAAACAGAGAGGATCAGATTAAACCAATCCCAAACTTAAATGTTGCTCAATAATTGTTAAATTTAACAAAAACGGAGAACATTTTTTGCTAGTTAAAAGATATAACCCTCTTTTTAGTCATAACTACATCCTCATGCTTTCTAAATTTAAAAAAGGAAGAAACAATTTTGTTCAGTGAAGGAAAACAGAAAAAAGAAAAAAAAAACAATTTTGTCAGATCCACAGGAATGAAGAACTACCTGGAGGAGGCGCTGCAGGTCAAGATGCATCTTTGGAAATTTTCTATCGTCCAGCAATTGTTTCTTCAAAGCAAAACCACCTGCAGCCAAAGCAGAATAAAATCATTCATTCAAACAATCAACAACGAACTCCAAGAAAATTAATAAAAGGAAGATGGTTTCAGGAATTAAATAAATGAGTATTTGTTTTCTTCATAAAGCAGCACCAACCACTAAAATCAAAGGAAAAAAATGTAATGCATTGCGGTGAGAGAGTAAAATCAAGAAGTAATTTCATGAGTGATTTTAGCACTTAACAATTATAGGAAGTAATGGGGATATTTCCTAGTCACCTTTTGTTGGTATGGTAACCCCAGGTCCGCCCAAACCTTTTGCACTCGGGAAACTGAGCGGTGGCTCATTCCTATTTTTTCTCCTTTGGTGAGTCATACCACTAACCTTGATTGGAGAATGGAGAGTCTTTACGCTATCCCTCAAAATGTAATTCAGGAAATTTTCCTTATCTTTTTAGTATTACTAAATAGTTATTATTCTAGTCTGCTGACCCAAACGTAAAGGCCGACTGAAGAGATGTATATTTTGATCTTTGAGTTTATGAACTCCTACTACGCATATGAATGTGCAAAGTAGCCTGGAAATAGAATTAGTATGAGGGTTTAAGCTTCAAACTGTATCACTAATCATGAGGACTGCCATCACGAATTGACAATGTTGTCAGGTTGCAAACATTTCATGAACCTTATGTGATGGAATGTATTTTCCATCTCCAAAACCAGAACGAAATGATTATTTAATATTACATAATAGGAAACACAAAATCACAACAACTGATTTCCCAGTATAACATAACATTTATAAGAAAAATATACCTTTGTCCAATTCCAGCTCCATTGAATCCAACTCAATCTCCAGCTTCGTCACAACATCTTGAAGGTGATCCACATGAGTGTCTATGATGTGAACAACCAGATTTGAAAGAGATTT